TAAACTCGGATGGCCATGGCTCGAAAAGGGGCACAACTCGTTACGTAACCCTGGAGGACCGGTTAGAGCCTCTAGGAAAGAGAGTTGCGCCCAAAGCCCATTGTTGCCTCCAACTGCGCGGCGGCCTGGTCCGTGGCGGCTACAACAACAACAACAACAACAACAACAACCACCACCACCACCACCACCAACAACAACAACAACCACCACCACCACCACCACAACCACAACCACGGCCACAACCACAACGACGACAACAACAAGTACAACAACAACTACAACCACAAGCACAACAACATTCATTCACACGCAGCGGGAGATGTTGTCTTGGGGTGAAACAGAAACCATTGCTTTGAGAGTGTTCGACCTTGAGTGCTCTACTCTGGCTTCTGCTGCTAGCTGTGACTACTCACTCCAGCGCTGCAGAACAACAACAACGACGACAACAACAACAACAACAACAACAGCAACCGGCAGCAACAACAAGGGCAAACACGACCTGGTAGCAGGTAGCCATTTTCAAACTTAAAGAAGCACACATTAAGCCGAAGAAAGATAGCGCCAACACCGCCACCAACACCGCCCCAGCCGCGGACAGCGACAGCGAGAACGACAACCAGAACCACAACCAAAAAACAACAATAGCTGCTGCCGCTGCTGCTTCTGCTACTACTACCACCACCACCACGACTACTACTGATACTGCGGCTGCTTGTGCTGCTACTGCTGCTACTGCAACTACTGCTACTACTACCTCGACTACTACGACTACTACGACTACTACTACTACTACTACTACTACTACTACGACTACTACTACGACTAGTACTAACTATGTCTAGTACTAACTACGACGACGACGACGACGACTACTACTCCAACAACAACAACAACAAGAACAAGAACAAGAACAAGAACAAGAACAAGAACAAGAACAAGAACAAGAACAAGAACAAGAACAACAACTGCTACTACTGCTGCTGCTCCAGCTCCAACTGCTGCTGATGCTACCACGTGCTACTGCAACTCCTCCTGCTGCTGCTGCTGCTACTACCACCACTACCACTACCACTACCACTACCACTACCACTACCACTACCACTACCACTGCTGCTGCTACTGCTACCACCTCTTGCTCTTGCTCGTATTCTTACTCGTAGCCTTGCATGTTTTGCCTGTTTATGCTGCTACCAGCAGTGTTGTGACTGAATTCTGCGTGAGCGGGTGGCTCCTCGTTGTTTGCAACTTTGGTGCGCACCAACGACAACCCTAACAGCTGCAGCCACAGGGAAGGCAATAGTAGCAGCAGCACAACGACGACGACAAGAACAACAATCACCACTGACTACAACAACAGCAAAAGGAACAACGACAAGAGCAACAGCAACACAACCAAAACGAAAAGGACAACGAGAAGCAGAACAACCACAGTAACTCGGCATGGACACTAACAAGGATTAAACAAACATCGGGGCAATGGTGGTGCTGACGGAAACAACGAAAAAGGAGTATTGTGATGCAAAGATGGTGAGGGACCGTAAAACCCTCTCAAACCACCCGTGACCGGAACCAACGGCATGCGTACGGGTGTACAATCATGCCAGGAAGAAACTATGCCGTAATGGCCGAATCGCAGACCAATTAGGATCATCACTATTTCCGCTATTTCTCGCTTCTGCATGGATGTGTGCGGATTGCCGTGCTGCAGGCCAGATAGATACAGTATGAGGTTGGACGCACCAGACACCTAGAGAAGCCCCTTCCTGAACATGCATCCTGAAAGAGTCCGAGGATCTAGTCTCTCCCGCACCACGTTGCCGATGTCCTTTCGCGGCTGCAACCAGCTTGGTCGCCATGCCTCAGCTGAGCCAGGCTCATACGGAAGAGAACACCTGCCGATTGCTTCGCGCATCTTTGTGCATCAAGGCACGAAGGGCCAGCACGCTGAAACATAGGTGACGGTGCCATCCCAGCCTCACGCATCTATCACCAACAGTCTCAGGCTGAGCTAGGCCAGCTGAGGGATAGTTAGATACAAAACTCTTCCAATTACCAATCAGTGCTTGAGTGGAAGCCAAGCAACAGGCACAGCCATTGTTCTTCAGCGCGTTCTTGGACATCTTATGTTACAAACTGGTGGCACTGACCATACGGTGGCTATCTGCAATGAGGACCTGATCTCCTGTTCTGTTGTTTTATGCCGTCTCCTAGAAACCTTGTTGCCGAAAGGGTAGTAACTCGATCTGGCCAGACTAACTTAGCGATCACATCTAAGGCTAAGGATTACGCGCACAAAGCTCAATCTACTGAAAAATGAGCTTCGCCGAAGATCAGCATGCACAGAAAACACCTGAGAAGCTTGCGAAAGCTCATCGGCTCTCCACAGAAGACCCCAGTCGGTCTGCCCTTCTCTTATGAAACATTTTACAAGTAAGGCTCGAGTTTTGTATGAGTTTTTGTATGTATACTCTAATGCCCGACATGCCAAGCTTCAACCCCCTGGACAAGACTGAGTCTGTACAAAACGAGATAGAGAAAAGAAGAACAAATCGAAAGGAGTGCGCGCCCACAGCCGTTTTAAGGCGCTTGCTCTTTCCTTGAGCCGATCGTTATCTCTTCTCGGCAGAGGGGACGCTGCGAGAAGCCTGTCTCTTGTTTTATCCTCAGAGTTCCCCCGGCTGCAAATCAAACTGGAACACGATAGCTGGCTAGTATCAGTGGGAACGTGCTTGACCCAGCATTCCTCCGACATCCTAGGCTTACGCCTCAGGCCGATTCAAGAAACATGCAACCACAGCGTCCTCCTCCCCAGCGGGGAGCAACGCGCATCACGCAAGGTTTGGAGGCTTCTCAGAAGGCCTAGCCAAAAAGCGCGTGCAATAATCTACCACAGGCGGCCTGAACGGCCCACAGTAGTGCTACTCTTCCTTGGGAAGGTAACACAGCTTTGGCGGACCCACACGGCTGCAGACATTCTGCGCACATTTTGCGATGCCTTCAGGCGAAGTTGCATCGTTTAACGACCCAGTCCACTGTGCCAACCATCCTGCTAGATGATGCACCTGAGCAAGCAGTTTCACTCCGCTTCGACACTCCCAGAACATGGGCAGGGAGAATGATTTCTTGTCCTATGATGCTAAAGCTGCCGAGCGACTTCTGGAGCATCTTTACGAGAGCTGCCTTGATCTCTGGGTTGCACTTCTCCACATCACACAATAGCTTCACCTGCCTGTTCCTGAGTAAACTTGCTCACCCGCGGTGCTGCAAAGACAAACGGATCACTCGGAATGGACACTCAAGTAGCTGGCTAAGGCAGCATCTTCTCCGCCGTCTGCTTCGGGGTCAACTGGTTCCTGCAGCTCTTCCGCAGCAAGTCTTGAACCTGAGTTGGCACTTGCCGCCGCTTCCTCCATTACATCGATGCAGATCCACTGCTCCTACACTGGTTGTTCCCCTTGAGTACTCGTCCTTGCCGTTTCCGTTACTCGGTCATGCATACATCTGGTGGCGTTGACAAGGGCAAGGGGAAGGGCAAGGGTGGGAATGGTGGAGGGGATGCTCGCCGGGGGCGGATCGTGCTGGGGCGGCAGCGGCACCTTCGACCGCAGTCGCTAAGATTGATTTTCCTGCTCCACGTCGGCGACAAGCCGTTCCGCGTGTCAGCATGCTCATGATTTGCTTCCATGATTGGAATGAAGGTCTGTTCAGATTCGCTTTCGTTGCTTGGTAAGCTCTGTCTCCATTCTGCTCTCCCCTTGCCTTGTTCTCCCCTCCTCCTCCTCATCCTCCTCCTCCTCCTCTTCCTCCTCCTCCTCCCTCTCGTCTCACTGCCCTTGTCTGCTTGTTTGTGCCATGCAAATCTTGGTCATTGCGCGTCAGATTTGTTCATCCCTGTTTGTATCAGGAGTTAGGCCGGGGATCACTACTGGCCGTTCCCTACGACAGACGCCGACGACTATGCAAGTGGTGATAGCAATGTAAGTATGAAACATGCTATAACGAGGATCATGAAATCCTTGTGGTATAAACATGAAGCAACAACGCTGAACAGGATACTGGCAATGATGACACTCGTGGAATGCACGTCTCCCAGACCACTACCCGTTGTTGGGCATTCCAGCTAGGCCTGACCATCCTTGATTGTTCCTGGCCTCATGAAGAAGAAAGGGGAACACACGGTGAACTCAAAACCAACACAGCTAAATTACCACCATGCCTGAAATACAGCTCCACTCTCGGCGCAGGGAAGGACCTCCTCTCCACATCAGAAACTGTCTGAAGATTGCTTGTGCTGTCTTCCGAACTTCGAAGCCGGCCGACCGTCTTCATGCGCTCACCAGCCATGTGCGAAGATGAATACTCAATGACCACCGCCTGGGCGAGTCTGGAGCAAAGACACTGACGAAAGCACCGCTAAACGTCTACCTAACGTATCCTAACGTCTACTACTGACAGACATGGCCACCGGAAAATGACGCCTCAAAGATCCGAAACGGATCCGAGCTGCAAGTTCTGTAACTCAGTAGAGTGATGAATTTCTTCCTCAACCGAGAAGCGAAATAGGGATGTGGACGAAGAATGTCCAGCACCAGTCGCAGCTGTCTCATTCCGCTCTCCTTAACCGTCGAAAGTTGCAGCAGCTGCTACATGACTCATGACCCCTTGGCTAAGGCACCGCGAGCCGAGAGCCTTCCCGACTTCTGAAGCATGCCTTCGGCAATGCAGGGAACAGGCCTTTGGCCTCAAGAAAACACACCTGCTACCAAGGGCACCAGTCTTCATTTTTGCAGAGGCTGCGCCCACGGGCCAACCTGGGACCTCTCCGCAAGCTCGCACGGTTTCGGGGGCCCACCCCAAACCGTGCGAAGAGCATTATCTTCCTAGCCTTGAGCGCCACCGCCTGCCACAGAGCCCCCAGAAAACCACAGACCCGTCAGCCGAGGCGCATGACGCGTCTCCGAAATCAGCATTTTCAAAGACAAAAACTGTTGAAACAATGCATGCCGGGAACACACGCAAACCTTGATATGTACAGCGTTTTCGCTCTTGCCAAGCCAACAAAAGTGCGCAAATGACCGAGATGGCCGATGGCCATGCAAGACCCGGTTGTCCAAGCACTCAGCCCTGAAGACCCACCCATATGTACCCAAGGGCACAAAAAAATGAGAGGAAAGACTCGCGATGAAGGAGGGTCGGCAGCACCGCCGTCCACCGCTATTGCTAAAGCAAGGCTTGCAAGCTAAACTCCGCCTCAGGCGGAGGCACCGGAGAGCAATCGCCCGCAGACCGGGCGCTGCCCGATTTTTCAAGCAGGAAGAAAGCCGGTGAGTCGCCGAAACGGGAAACGAAAGCAAGCAAAACACAACTGTTGCACAACCGAGCCGAGCGGCTTGCAGCAGGCTGGAACTGTTCTCGAAGGAGATGGGCTGCCTTAAGCTTACAAAAAGAGAAGAGAGCAGACGAGCAGATGGGGACTTTTAGTATCGTTGGGTAGCAAGACCCAGTATCTCCCTACAGGAACCATTTCGTCAAGCCGAGAAGCTTGATCAGCTCCTCCAGCTCGACCAGCTTCTCCCGCATAGTCTTTATCTGCGCCTGGTCGCACCCCGATCCGACAAGGATCACCCTTCCTCACCCTTTTCAAGTCGAGCCTGTGCGCGGCCCAGCGTGCTCTGAGAGCGCAGACCCTCTGGAAAGTTCTCCTGCGTGAGGCAGCGTGGAGCGGAAGTGCTGCGGCTGCGACACAGCACGAGGCGGCCCGTGCTTGCGTGCGCTCCTGTATCAGCTTCGTAAAGGCTGCATCCAAGTCAGCCCAGGTATCGTTGCCTTGCTTTCAGGAGCCGCCTCTTTACTTGCTCGAAACAATTAGAGGGTACCTGCAGAATCCTGCAGAAGCTAGTGGGGTTCTGTGGTGCTTGAAACGGCCAGAGCTTCCAGCAATGCTTCCTCGATCTTTTCGCCGAGGCGCTTTTGACACACTCGCGCGCTTGATCCAGCAGAGTCATTTCTCGCAAAGCGGCGCGAGCAGATTCCAAGAGCTTCGGATCCAAACCTCGGCGACCAGCACGAAATGCAGTCGAGCCCAGGGCGTGGCCCTGCAACTGTCTTGTGGCATCCGGGACACTGTCTACGTGCGCAGAAGAGCCTGCTTTGGAAATTGCTGTCTGCAGCGCATGGCCATCCGAGAGGACCATGGCACTTCGGATCTCTTTTTCGAGCAGCGCCTTCTTGTACCTGGTTTACAGCAGAAACAACGAAACAACATCAGGCTCCACTTTACCATTGGATGAGTGGGCAATGTAAACAAAAGTCAGGCTGGCCAGATAGCCGAGCAACAACCGCGTGGCCTCTTTCACGTCGCCTGACATCCTAGCAGATTGTCGCTAGAGCGACGGGATACAATAACGACTTGTTCGGCAAAGCTGTCCTCAGCTTTCCGGCATCTTGGATCTTCTTGGGCAGCTCCTGCAAGACCTTCATGTTGGAGTTGGCGCGCTGTCATCTCTGACTTGCAATCAGCTCTTGTCATGGCGTGCCGATACCTATAGTTAGCAGGCTGCAGGGTCGAGGCCCGGACCTGCGTTGCACGCTTGGCCGCAGTCGCCTTGATCTCATCAAGCCTCAGCACGAGGGGAAGGGGGGGACGGAGTGAGGGACGAGAGACAGCGAAACTCTGACAGCTCCAAGACCGCACGAATCATGTCGCATGTTCTTTTTGCCTGAAGACCCATGCAAGCCAGCTAATTGCTACCGAACTTGTTTCGTGAACCTTTTTCAAGCACAAAGCTGCATCTCCTGTCATTCCTCGCCAGAAGGACCCCTAGGCTGATCTACATCTATGTTCCGTACTAGCACTAGTTCGGAAAGCCGTACAAGACGTGATCACCTTTGTCAACAGAGGCGGGACAACAGTAAGAATTACAGCGACTTGAACCGCAATCGAAGCACGCATCAGAAATTCAATCCCAATGCCACGTCACTAACGACAACCTCGAGAACGGCACCAGGCTACAAGTAGAAACAAGGCAGGGCATGAGCAAGCCCAACGTACTCACGCTTTCTGCTCAAGAGTTCTTGATGTTGTCATCACCGCCGCCATCACAGCCATCATCATGAAAATGCATATGTTCAACATCATCAAGTGTTGCCATCAGCATAAGAATACAAGCCCCTCTGGTTCCCCAGAGCCAGTATTGCGATTCTGTGTAATGACAGTGGCCTCTGCTTCCCCTTCACGATTCATACACACATCACCCTACAGCTCTACGATATTCGCAAAAGCGTCCATGGTTTCAGGAGCGTGTTGCCTACTGATGCAGCTTGCTGCTGTAAATCCTGCGCATGCTGTGTAGAATTTCCAGTTCGCTGTGCTGAGTCTTACAGCTGCCACTCTCCTCTAGGATGCATATTGCTACTTCGTAGTGTCGCACTCTACAAGTCAATTACTAAGTACGATTACTAGTATCCCTGTGTTTCCACGAAGAAGTTTTTGCTCTGCCGCCCCCGGCAGGCGACGGAGCTCGCTCATGTGAAGGTAACGCTGCATTGCGCACTAACGCAGCACTCCAGCTGCAGGAAAATGATGGAGGTACAAGTAGCACTGGGGTGTCGTTTCCTTTGTCCCCATGCGGGTGTGGCACGAAATGGAACGCTACAGTAACACCGCGAAGTCAAGATTACTGATTCTCCCACCCGCCCTGACCGAGTGGCACAGGGGCACACTCTGGACAACGTGAGGTGCAAGTCCCAGGGCTGCCCAACACCCACCGTGAAAACACACAAGTCTTATGGCAGTCTTATGGCATATCGTGACATACTTACATTGCAGAGTATGCTTAGAGTTATGCGACTTCGATCTTTTGCACCGCTCCGAACTCAGTCGCTTTGCATCACACAACCTCTACACGAGGATATGCTTTGGGATTCTATCCGGTTCCTCCGGATAGACTG